TTAATGATTCATTTTTGGTACACTATGCAAAATAGACATAAAAATTCTTTAGTTAGTATGACATATCTATAACAAAATTATAAACCACATGCATACCACACCAAAACAAAACCAACAAACCAATAAAGGAAGCATAGTACTAAATACATGTCGTAATTATTACCATTAGTGCATGTTGTCCCATTTTTGCATCAACACGAAATAAGCCCTCCATACACATGATAGTTACGGAATATAGACAAAAGTACTAGCAAATTAATAAATAAGAGTCTTACCTTTAGAAAATATTGTTTGTTTAACGAATACACCAAAATATTTCTAAATAATCCACTTCCAAAAGTAATGGGGGGAAAAATTGCAGGAGAACTCGAAAAATCGCGGGAACCGCGGAGCCTCCGTGTCTTTTTTTTTTATGTTTCTCCTTGCCGTCGAACGGCTGTAAACGCATTGTTCGCGGAAAGATCGCAATCGCTCGCCGATTTTCATTGAAATTATTCAATTCGCGGGAACGTATTATAATTTATATCCATTTCTGTGGTCCGGTAATTGCATCGTCGAAACCGTGGCACGCGTAGAACGTGTACAATGCGCATTATATGCAACGATTCTGATTTTCGTTTGCTCGTTTAGACCGAAATGATCATTTGGTTTCTCTGATTAAAAGTCTGTTGTGTTCTCGACAACAGGCTTTACATCTGTCGCTTGATCTTTTTATCTCTTATCGCGCATCGCCGCGCGTCGTTCCACATAGATTACAAGCTGTAATTAAAATTGATTCGTTGGATTTGCCGTTAAAATCGCGTGTCCAATTGTCGATCAAAATACATTTGTTGCGCATAATCATAGACTCGAAGCAACTCTTTTGCATTGTTACCGGTATTTAACTGAATAAAATATCATGTTTCTATATTCTTATTTTCTATCATGTCTAATACAAGTCTTTTTATATTTACAGGGTGTCTCGGCCAAAGAAGGTAACAACCTACGGTGCTGTGAATAATTGTAAACTCTAAGTAATTTTTACATTTTTTATTGACGTTTAAATCGAAACAAAAGAAGACTATATTTGTATATTTCCATTTTCTGTTATTTCTAATATCGAAATATACAAATATGACGTTCTGTTATGGCAAATAGTAAATTTGATCGTTATTATTTCAGATTGTACATATACATTTGAAAATGAAATATTCTATTTGTTCGACAATATGTGCTCTCGCAAATAAAATATTTCATTCGTCGTCAAACAATTTTAAAGATAATATTTGAAATAGTGTTTGATTCGAGAAACGCTGAAAATATTTGCGTCACAGTTCGAAATATTTTATTCACTTAATTTCTTAGCATCAAATAAAATACTTTTAGTTCATTAGATCATAAGTGTTCAATTATTTTAGTAATCCAAAATTAACCCCGCTGCCATGGCAAACGTTCATAAAAGATGGATTTCGTTACCTGCGATATGCTGCATTTAAAAGGATCATAAATTTCATTTGCAAACATTACGATTCCTTTACGCTATCATTTTTCCGTCACGTTGATTATTTTCACAATTCATTTCCAGATCAAGAACTCTATATTAAGTATTCTATTTTATGCTTTATGCTATCCAAATAATCTATTTGACATGATGTTTCACATTAATCAAAATGCGGACGATCAAAATAAAATGTTCCACGTAGTGAAATTTCACGTCCTGTTTAAAATGTTATTTCATTTGAATTGTGAATAATCTGTTTTGTTCAAACTGGTATTTCAAATATATCTTTTCTGCAAATATTACCCAGCTCTGCGAGAATATCGCTGAAAATGTGAGAGTTACTTCGAGTCCCCAATTGTTCGCACTGCTCGCATAATACGCATGATCGGAAAGCATGGACTACGCGTCCAAAAATCGCTCGCATGGGTCAGCATATTTTTTACCCGGGACTGTTCGAGCTGGCGCACCGTTCGCAAAGGTTAAAGCCGGGAAAACGGAATCGGCCTGTGGTCGATATCATCGTGCATAGGCGAACGGGACAACGTCACGAGAACTTCACCTTCGATTCATGCATGCTTTGTCAATGGAGAGAACTAGGGGTCTCCGACCTGCCGAGAATTATTTTCAGGCGATCATCGGCACGCGGAGCCGCTTGTACACATGCCCGAGAGAAAAACTCGATCGCACTTTCAGCCGTTTACCACGGAAATCGGTCCGATAATTGACTTGGTCCGTGGAAAAGCGTGATGATGTTCGAAAATTGTTCAAACTATTACAGCGCGAAAAGCGAGCACCTTTCATCGATTTCAGAGCGTTCTCGCTCGCTAATCGCACGTATAAGGCACGCAATTTTACACATCATTCCCGCGAACGTCATTGGCAACTGTGTTGCGCGGAACGAACGTGATGAAAACGTCAATCAAACCGGTTCGAGGCTTTCCCATTCTTTCCTCCCCTCGGTAATCGAAATTTGTTGTTAATATTGCATAATGGATTGTCGCTGATGACTTCCAGTACGCGCTTCTCTGCATTACAGTGGAAATCTGCGGCACAGGGAAAATAATGGCTTTCAGATAGCGAGTGAACAGATTCTGCGCCGCAGTCCAGAAAATCGAGAGCCGACGATCGCTTTTACTTCTTCGAAGTACAGCTTTTCATGGGTAAAATCGTTGCGATCAGAATTTCACGCAATATCTAGCCATTAGGATGGTGGAGCCGATCACCATGAAGTGACCAATTGCTGTGCCTTTGGTTCGTCCGAGGGCCTAATTAACTTGATGATTATCCAATAAGACGGAATAAATTCTGTTATTTTGCTTTATTTTGTTTATTTTTTGAATAGAATGATTTAATATGTTACGTTCGATAAATAAAAACTTAATTATGCCTGAAGACAGATCGAAGGCACGGCAATTGGTCACCCCGCAATAACCGGCGCCCTCTACCCTATAGATGTGAAATAATAGCGATTATTATTCACTTTTCATTCAGCTTTTCTCATGACTTCTCTTAACTGTCGGTCAACTTTTTCATTTCACTTTTGTCTGCTGTCGCTTTTAAGTAACTCTTAATCATCATTTAAGCAATAATCCTTTCGCTGTATCGTAAAACTATCGACCTTGGTGTAAATTCTAAATGATTTACATTAATTACGATGACATCGTTATTAGTAGATTGCGGATTTTATGCGTTTAGATCAAAAATGGGTGGGGCGGAACCAGGAACAGTAAAAGGATTAAATGGAGCGAAGAATGTTAGTGTACCGATTGCAACTTACTAAAATGATTAAAGAAAGAAAATTTCGATAAAAATTCGCAGTCTGGTAATTAGATTTGCCTGATATTTCGACAAGTGTTTACACTGAAAAATCCTGCGGGTAACAAGTTAACATGTTGACAACAAAGGTGACATTTTTATCCTTTCAATGGCGACTAAAATGGAAAAGTATAATAGAAGATATGTCCACTTTTTATATTATTTTTATAACTTTTTATTACATTTGCATTATATGTACATATGAATACCATTTAAAATCATATTACTTGTACTTAAATGGTTAAAAGCGTCATTTCTTCGAACTATCAGAAATATTAGANCCGACTACGATTCCCACCGTGTGCAGGCTTCCCGGTGAAACGACTCATTCGATCCGCAGCTTATGGCAACGGAACGGAACATAGTCCGCAGCGCTCTACGGTTGAACAGCCTCGGCTGCTTTTTTCCAGTACAGTTCGCGGAAAAAGTCAACGCTCGCGTTGGCAACGGAATACGAATTCGATGGGATTATGTAACTGGCCAAAGATTTGGTAATATTTGGTAATACTTCGCGGTTGCGCCTCGAGAAATGAACTTTTGTGCCGTGATACTTGTGAAATTCCTGTTCGACACTTCATGCTGCGTCGATTTCAACCCTCTCGACGTTTAGCCTGTACCAGATGTATAGTCCATCGGTGTACACACTTCATAGAGTTACAGACGTGATTCCATTTATTTGTTTTCACTTATTTAATTATGATTTTACTAGTTAAAAGCGTCATTTCTTCGAACTATCAGAAATATTAGATAGGACAATTTAACTAAGTATGTAATCTGTAACATGCGCGCATAACAAAATACAATGTAAGATCATATTACTTGTACTTACATTGTATTGTGTTATGCGCGCATGTTACAGATTACATACTTAGTTAAATTGTCCTATCTAATATTTCTGATAGTTCGAAGAAATGACGCTTTTAACTAGTAAAATCATAATTAAATAAGTGAAAACAAATAAATGGAATCACGTCTGTAACTCTATGAAGTGTGTACACCGATGGACTATACATCTGGTACAGGCTAAACGTCGAGAGGGTTGAAATCGACGCAGCATGAAGTGTCGAACAGGAATTTCACAAGTATCACGGCACAAAAGTTCATTTCTCGAGGCGCAACCGCGAAGTATTACCAAATATTACCAAATCTTTGGCCAGTTACATAATCCCATCGAATTCGTATTCCGTTGCCAACGCGAGCGTTGACTTTTTCCGCGAACTGTACTGGAAAAAAGCAGCCGAGGCTGTTCAACCGTAGAGCGCTGCGGACTATGTTCCGTTCCGTTGCCATAAGCTGCGGATCGAATGAGTCGTTTCACCGGGAAGCCTGCACACGGTGGGAATCGTAGTCGGCTATCAATCAAGGAATCGCAGAGTTGACGAGAATATCTTAACTTCGGCGCGAGTACGCAGTCGCTAGATAAACGGGGGCGACGATAACACCGGGAACAAAGGGGATCGTGCCGCGACGAGCGATTCGGTTGTTTTCGTTTTTTTTTTCGCGATCAGGCATTGTCATTCGTGCCCGGTGAATCCTGAACGACGGTTAATAGTTAACAAAATGTCAGCCATGATAACGGAGCGCCGCTAACGAGCCCCGTCTTCGAGTGTGCCATAACACACACTCGGCGCATCCAGTTAACACGTTCCGTGCCACGTGTACCATCGATGGTACACGCTTGCATGTTTACTTAGCGAACTGAACAAATTGTTTACAAGAAATTTAGAACCGAAGAATCAATTTCCACCGCAAGAATGGGCGTTGATAAGTTTTTGTTACGTTGTTATGTGTACGAGAATGAATAATTGCACGTAATACATCAAGTTTTAGTAAAATATCAAAGTGTGAAGATTCGAGTAAAAAAAGCTCCGCACGGAACGTGTTAATTACCGTGTCGAAACACCGTGCGCGAATTCGTGGGCTCGCAGCCCGCGCCGGCAATAATTCAGTTATCAATAGTTTCGTTTCCACGGAACCATCAATTAGCTGTTGGTTGTTCTTTCTTTTTCGTTTCCTTTTTCTTTTTTAGCGGAGAGACTCGGCCTCGTTTATAATCTTCGGCGGAGTCTTTTTGCCCCGGGTCTGTCACTCGCGACTGTTATGCTATTCTCGGTGTAATTAACATGTAGTTCGAGCCGTATAAACGCGGATTTTTACTCGATCGCTATAAATAAGCTTCATTCGACGGTCTTCTTCTCGGTAACTCCGGTGTTTATTGCTCTTCCTTCGTGTTTGAACGCGTTTATTGCTTGTTCCGGCGTTGTAAAATGGTAAACACATGAACGACGGTACGGGGACGATGTTCGCGGAAAACGCACTCTGATACAAATATTAAATCAATAATGCGGCTCTCGCTCTTTCCACAAGCGCATAATGTTAGCTTTCCCATAAAACCTTCGCGGGTTTTCATTACAGCACAAGATTAGTTAATGGGCCGTTCTTGCTTCGGCTTTTAACGACGGAGGGCATGAAGAGGGAGAAAGAGATAGGGAGGGAGGGAGCAAGGCAGAAGCCAATGAACAGTCGCGAAATAGTGTCCACTGCTCTCTGTAATTACATTATCGATCCTCAGCGGTATGTCTCTACAAAGGAAATTACTATATTTGACACGCGATATTTTTCTTCGCCGGTGCGATATTCATGGAAAATGAAAGATTCGGCTCCCCTGTGACACGTCGGCGATTTCATTCACTGTAACATAACCGATTCCTGGGCGAGATATCTCTGTGCCCGATGAAAGGATATTGAAAGAATGTGACAGCATTAACGGCGACACTATGTGCGGGAGTGATATTAACACTTTGACGGCCGCGCCGAAAACCTCGAGAGTTTCATCGAATTAAAGTATTTCGTTCAATTGAATTACAATTGCAAAGCGAGATTATATTGGGTTGGCAACTAAGTAAATACCGATTCGTTCGATGAAATGAAAAATTTCTTTTTACTTGGAACGAAGTTTAATCTGTAATGTATGTTCCATTTTGTTCGATGACCTTTTGCCATTTCTCTGACACTTGAAAATTCCACGCTCGTAGAAAGTCTGATCCTTTTCGGCCAAAAACTGAGTTAAGTGAGATTTTACAGCGTCGTCATCGTTCAAAGTTTTACCACGAAGGGAGTTGTCCAGGGATCGAAATAAGTGGTAATCCGATGGCGCGAGATCAGGGCTATATGGTGGGTGTAACGTCAATTCCCAACCAATATCCATCAATTTTTGCCGAGTGGACAAAGACGTGTGGAAAATGACACCTTCACGATTGACCAATTCTGGTCGCTTTTCCTTGACCGCTGCATTCAATTTGGCCAGTTGCTAACATTCGCGGATAATAAAAAATAACATAATAATAATAATAATAATAATTTTATAATATATAACATTTACGGATACCATAAAAATGGGAGTGAGAGACATCTATAACTGAAATCGGCAATTACTTAGTTGCCAACCCAATATATATCGTTAAGAATACAATTTTATTAAGCAAATGTACATCCTCCTCCAAAAGTATTAGGGCACCTTCTTATTTAATATAAATTGTAATTTTTTCGTTCAGTTTAGCTAATGTCTGTGAGCTTTATGACGTTGTATTGTCGAAAGTACAAATCAAATTAAACGTGTTTGTCACTCATACGATTAGTGTTCCCATTTATTGCACTCTGTTTACTGAAAACGTATGCCGAGTTCATTTCATACTCCTCGTTCGGTATCACACGCAACGTTTCCCTATGCGTTTTCTAAATATGTGGAACATAGTACAAAATACATGGAACCAAATAGGAAGAGAAATAATAGACAAAATAATAA